TATATATATATATATAGGGATAAAAGAAAAGACCGGTTTAGGTTTGAATTATGGAAGTTCCGAGTAGTCGGTTTGCGTCTTAACTGCCGATTCATCTCGGAACATCCTGGGATCCGATTGATGTGCACTCAACATGTATGCGACAATCTGGCGACTATAAATTGGTATTTCTCACCGAAGTAGTTGAAAAGAGGAATCACTGTTCTTACCTCGGCCTAGAAGGGATTAGAGACCTAGTTGTTCAGAACTTCCAGCATCCGAAAGGGTGCGCCGCCAAGGTAGTTAAAGGAGCAAAGCTAGTCAGTATGCTCGCGAAGAACACTGCAGTGGCATAAGGCGCGCTCGTCTGACGTGACAGAAGTACTGTGATTCTGTACAGAGATTATGGATTCAATAGTTTCAAGTACAAGTTGCAAGCACAAGCTCGGTAGTATGATCCATATACTTATAAGGGCGCAACTATAACTGAGTGAAAATGAAAAGAACTTCAGTGTAACATCGAAACTCAACAATCGACCGTCGCCGAATTCTTCGAAAAGTGAAGGCAACAGTTTAGCAGTGATCGGTGTTTAAATGTCGAACCGAGCTATCGAGAAACCTATAAGACGTGCAGATTCTGGTAAAAGCAAATCGATGCAGCCACCGACGAAACGGGGGCGTAAGACCGATAGTAGGTAACTTAGAGAAGAAGACTGATCCAGCATATAAGCCGTCTCGGTATTCAGACGAGAAACAAACATCATCATCATCAACGACAGCATGACATCAGTGTTCAACACCAATGCTTCACTGCCGTACAACCATGACTTATTTGAAAGCCTTATTGTAAAGGAAAGAATAAAGGTGAATGGGGGAGGGACTTAGACCATTCTGACGCCATAGGTGTCTCAAGTTAGCAAACGCGGCCCGAGCCTTGCAGATTCGTGCATTCACCTCATCTGTCACACTACAGTCAGAACTAATACAACCTCCAAGATACGTAAAACGCTCCACAACTTCCAGTGCCTCTCCCTGGATTGTAAGTGGTGTGTTCAGTGACTGCACGTCCACAAGCATGACCTTACACTTTGTGGGTGCAAAGTGCGAGAAACAAACGCCGACATCAGAGCTCTATGTCATTAGCAAAGGATCGATCATCGATTATTTTGATTGTCAGTCGCCTCAAACCAGTCGTTTGCTTCCTGGGGGGGATGACTTTTCACCTAAGATGTATAGGTATTTGATTCTCGTGATCTACCCTCCCCCCCCCACACACAATTTTCTGTCCATTCTGAGAGGTGGACTCTATTCATTGTGACTGAGTGTTTTAATTTCGCTCGAAGTCCCCAATTAAAGTAACAGAACGATATGCGAAAGATGTTGGGAAGTCGGTCTCACAGACATTGCCACAGACGTTTGCTTCTTTACTCGAAGATCTTCGAAATTCGAAAGTACAAGATTCTCAGACGATTTAATCAAAGTAATCTCCGCTGCGAGAATAGACCTGAACCAGAAATTCACCGAGAGGAATTATAGCAGCAAACCATTGCCTGCTTGACAGAATTTCCGTTGTGTCCGACTGTATCCACCATCAGTGATTATGGGCCATGTTTCTTGATGACGGTGCACCAATTGCGCTCATTGTTATCATCAAATATACCGCCTACCGAAGATGGAGTTTACGGCAAAGAGATCTATGAGTCTGATTTCGCAGCTGGAGGGGGAAAAGAATGCCGGTTATACCCAGCATTATGCAACTTCGTGATCAATTGAGTGATGTAGGGATCTCTGGCGTCCGAATAAACCAAACATTTGAAGGACAGACCCCAAATATGCTAGCGACATTGTCCCAATTAAAAAAGACCTACTAGCCGCTTTGTATTAAGTTGCTTATCACACAGGACTAACCGGAATGGCAGTGGGGGCTAGCA